CACTTAGTTTTAATGTATCTTGACATGTTCCCATTATTGGTTGTTGGAATGTTGGTTTGTAAATTTTTAATTTCCTTCATGATATTAAATACGTAATCAGAATTTTTTTGTTTTATATGGAGATATGGCTACACTCTACATAAAATCATTTTATTTGTTGTTTTTTTTGCAATTTTATATATACTAAGGGAAGGGGCCTCATTTAGTTTATTGCCTAGGGCCACCGAAAAGTCAGGGCCGGCCCTGGGTAGGGTTTCTTGATTTCCCAATGACTGGGCTATGTCACTTTTAATCTTGGTGCTTATATATAGTATTATAAATATGAATATTATTGTTGCTTTGCTCGATGAATATTATTTGATGTTATGTGAACATTATTATTGATGCTTTTTCCGTGAATATTATTTGATGTTATGTAAATATTATTATTGATGTTTTTCCATGGATATTAATTGATGTTTTGTGAATATTATTATTATTCATGTGATTAAGCCTGATATATTATTGTTATTATCTGTGGCATTATTCAGCAGAAATAAATGATGTTTGTGCTGCACTACATATGCATCAGAAATACAGTGGTGTTTGGAGTGGGTGTGTGTCGTTTGAGATATATCTAAGGGGTGGGAGAAGGCTTTAGATATATCTGAATAAAATGTGGAATATATTAAGGTGATGGGAGCAGAACTTGAATATATTGAGGTGATGGGAGCAGGGCCTCTAATGATAAGTGAAAGTTGAGAAATTCGTAAACAAAAGAAAACTGGGTTAAGGTACGGATGAGCGCTAGTTCATATTTTAGGGTATTTGGAGCCACAGTGGTAAAACGCATGGTATGGGACATGCAGACTTGTTGCCCTATGATATGAATTAGTGGGATTAGTAGGGAGTGAGTTCATGGCATCACCGCATATGCAAATTTATTTATCTGTTATGATTGCATAATTTGTATATCTTGTGTTGTTTGATACATGACACTTTGATTAACTGTGATAGCTGACTTTGAGGGGTTTGATGGTACTCTACTGGGCATTAGAATGCTCATACCTTAATAGATTGTGCAGGATTAAAGAAGAAGTTTGAGTAAGCGGGTTCAACTAAGCTGCCGGGCTTTTATTATTGATTTGTGTAATTAATATTTGTAAGTAGTCAACCGTTTGTTAAAGATTCTAGTGTGTAGTTAATTACAAGCTACTGCGACTCTGATTTTGTAATGTTAAGTAAATTTGTATTATTTTGTGGCTCTATTTCTCATCATATCATGGTTGTAGGATTTTATTCTTATGACTATGGTATGACTCACACCATGATTCGGGAATATTCTTTATTTTTGAATCGGGTTGTAACAGAGGGCTCTAAAATGGACTGCATCACCTTTGGGACCGGGTTGCAGCCCTTGAAACTTGGTGGGGACCACATTTGGAAAAAGCTGCCAGCCTTACAATTTTTTGGCTCACTTGCCTTGCGACTCAACAGAGTCATACTCGCCCATTTTGATAGTTGCTGACTACTTTTTCTATTTTTTTTAATCATTTGGCCAATTGCAACAAGCTTGTCTCATTGTTTTTGGTTTTTTTGGTAAAGTTGACTCAGGCTACAACCCTCAAGTCCTAAATGGCTAGGTTTATTATTATTATTTTTTATAACCATGTTTTCAAATCTTGTCCAATTTTTTATTTTTTGGGTAGAAATGTTCACCCAAAAAAAAAAAAAAACATAAATAAGTTAACAAAAAACAAAAATAGCACCTAAATTAAATTACATCATAAAAAAAAATATTTAACCCCTAATATAAAGTCCCGGATACAGAGCCTCTCACTGTTGGAGAGATGCCTTTAGAGCCCCAAAGATTCCATTGGAGTTCTAAATGAGGCTCTATAAACCTCTTTTAAAACCCCAACCATTGGGGATGACCTAAGTTATGGCCTTTCTGTTAATGTATGAATTTTGATTAATTCTTTTGGCTTCCCTTGACAATTTTGTAATAGGACTTTTATATGTATTTATCAAGCTCAAGGATAGATTAAGATTAGCATCTCTAAGTGTTCTTAAATCTCATCTATCCTGTGGAGATTCAAGCAATTTGACAAAGGTAAAATCACGCATTGCATATCATGCATTAAAACTGTTTTCATAAAAGATGACTAGTCATCCTTGATCAGTGCGATTTCCAGCTGGTTAACCACCTGTTTTGTCCTATTCTATTTTCTCTCTCTGCTGCCATGTGTCAGTCTGACCTAAGGGATTCTTTTGTCTGTAAAAGCAAGTGAATTCCTAATTTGGAGGCCGTCTCTTTTGTGTGGAAGTTTTGGAAAGATTGGCTTGCCATCTTTCTCTTCTTCTTCCTCAAGAGTAAACCATATATTTCATCTATGAGTTTTTCTAATTGATTTCTTTTTGAAAAACTGCTTTTGAAATATGAATCTGCATCTAGCTTTTTAAATCATTCTCTCATATAGATCTAGATTGGATTCGTGACTGATTTCATCAAGAGTATGGTTTCTTGAAGAAATTGGTCTTTCTCCCATGAATCCAAAGTTTGGTTTCGTTCTAAGTTGGAGCTTGCAAGCTAGTGCCATGGGATGATCGAGCTGGAGAAGGAGCTGCCATTGCCATGAAGAACT